CAAAATAACATATACCTTATGATAATGTATAAGATGACTTTTAAGGTTTTTGTGTTTAATAATTATATATTTAACATTTTTAGTTTAACTGGAAAAATATTTTGGCTTATGGGGCTGCTACCGTATTTTCTAGGTAAAGAACAGAGAAAATGGAGTTATTTAAACCTGTAAGGATTTTTGGTTGAATAATTTAGCCTAATTAAAGAACTGGGTATGAAAAGCCAGCTTCCAGATCCATGTGCTATCATATCACTTAATATAGTCATGTGATTGTAGGCAAGTCATTTAACTTTTAACAATTTCTCTCTGTCTATGCAATGTCATGGTAATTCTGATCTTAAAGGAATGTTATGAAGAGCAATAAAGGTGTTCATTCAGCAGTATCAGTGTAAGTAGCCTGTGAGCTAGTGCTTAGGTTCTAGCAGTGAACAAGCCTATCCTCCCTCTAGGAGCGTCCACCCTATAATATTAAAAAGGGCTTTCTAATCTGTAATAGTTTGGCATATTCTAACAGTGGTTTGTTGTGAAGAGAATCCGTAGAAGTTCACTGTAATCCCTTTTTTCTGTTAAGTAGAATTCAACTGCCAAGTTTCTTTAGGACCAAATAACCTTATTATCCATTGGCTGCCAATGTAATACTCCCATAATGTGTACTAAAAGAATAGTTTTATAGTGAATTTCCAGTATAAACCCAGATTGTCTTTTAATACAAGAATATAAGTGATTAAGTATTTAAAAGGAGTTACTTTTTTTCTAACATTTTCTATTGAATCAATAATACATAATATCTGTTTAGAAACTGTGAGTGTGCTGAGAGACTCTATTTTAACAAAGGTTAGCCCTTTGTGAAATTCTTTTTCTATGTAATTCAACACCTCAGTTTATATTTATGTAGCCGTAGTTAGCTGCAGATGTTTTCATTATTTTAGATTGCCAAATATTAATGAACATGGACTTGGATCTCCTTCATCATGTTATAATATTTTAGAGTTTCCATTTGCTGCATTATTTTTACTTTGAAAATCAATCATGGGAGGTATAGAAGAGTGAATACTATTAAGTTGTAGTTCAGGTTAAGAGACTGGCTCTGAGTTTCATTCATTTGTAAATTAGAGAAAAATAATAATTATTTATAGGGTTATTGTGAAAATACCATAATGATAAATGCATGTAAAATGCTTTCCATAACATTTAGTAAGCCTTTGATAAATATTAGCTATTTTATTAAAACTGTCACTCTTTTTTATTTCTGTGAGATCAGTTCCAAGTTTTGTGTTTTTGCAGCTTCATTGCTTCTCATGCTGTTTTGATTTAACATTTTAGTTGTAATTTAGTTGTTTAAGTGCTGGCCTAAAACAGAATTCTAAGAATTACCCAAGTTAATTATTCAAAACTGAAAACTTGTACTGACCAGACTGGAGTGTTATGTGGCCTATATTACTTTTAAAAAATTCTATCTATCATGTCTGTCTGTCTGTCTGTCTATCTATCTTATCTATCTATCTACCTACTTCAGTATACAACATAAAATTACCAGATTGTATATAGATACAAAATAATTAGCCATTAAATTATGTTTTTTTTAAGAGCGGAGAGATGTGTCTCCTTTTTAACTTAAAGAAATATGTTTGCTGCCAAGACCGGTTTGGCTCAGTGGATAGAGCGTAAGCCTGTGGACTGAAAGGTCCCGGGTTCGATTCTGGTCAAGGGCATGTACCTTGCTTGCGGGCACATCCCCGGTGGGGGGTGTGTAGGAGGCAGCTCATCGGTGATTCTATCTCATCGATGTTCTAGCTCTCTATCCCTCTCTCTTCCTCTCTCTAAAAAAATCAATAAACTATATTTAAAAAAATATATATGTTTGCTATACAACTATTATTTTAGGCCTTCTTGGGAAAATTTTCTCATGATCCTTAACTGTTACTTGCTTTCTAGATCTTTTATAAGTTTGTATTTAGCATGTGATTTGCTTCTATGACTTAATTGCATAAGTAATTATCTTAAGATTATGCTTTCTCTTTAAGCACTCTGGTCATTTAAAAGCTTGGCAGTCCGTTTGTTTAATATTTATATAATAAAAAGGTGCTGAGAATGTATACAACTAATAAATATTTAAGATATTTCTATATGTCAGGCAGTGTGTTAGATGCAGAGGAAATAGCTGTGAAGGAGGTACCCATCCATAATCACAGCCATTGTTGGGCTCACCAACTAATAGAAATGACATACTTATCAAATGTTAGATGAGAATGCAATGGAATAAGGAGTGGTGCAAAGTGCTGTGAGGTTGTATAACAAGAAAGGGATATACTTGATTCAGTCTGGAAGTGACAAGGCCAAAAGCAAGTAGGGTAGGAAGAGCATACTTCTAAATAGAGAAAACAGATTATGTGAAGGTTTAAGGTAGGAAAGATCTCAGTAGATAACAGAAACTGAAAGTTTAGTGTTGATTATGGAGAACAACGGGAGAAACAAAGTTTGCAAGGTAGGTAGAAACCAAATTTTGAGGGGACTTTTAAGTTTCTTTAGATTATTTTTAATTTACGGACTTTATCTTGAGGACAAGCAGGGAACTAACACTACTTAGAGAATGGGAGATTTTTGAGTTAGGAAGCTCTTATACTTACAGTAAAGGTTGATGGCAGCTCAGACTAGAGTGTTATTAATGAGGATAGAAAGAAGCGGACCAGTTTGAGAGAGGTTTAAGAGAGAAAATGGAAATACTCAGTGCTTGGACATAGTAGGAGGGTGGAAAGGAAAGAGGTTCTAGGATGGTTCCTAGGCTTCAGGTTTGAGGCATTATTGTGATGGATATCTTGTTACTGACATATGGGATCATGGAGGAGGAGTTAATCATGAGTTTAATTATTAGATATGATGAGTTGAGGTACAGTCTGTTCTTAATTTCAATTTTGTTTGAATTCTAATTAGATTTTTTGATACCTTGAGGTAGAATAGGAACATGCTCAAAGACTTCTTCACTTGGGCCTTTGTTTAATGATATTTTGCCTTTTTAATCCCACTCTAAATACCTGAGGGTTATAACATCCTGACAGTAATCATGGCTCACTGTGTTGATAATTCTCAATGAGGTAGGTTTAGAATCAATAAAAAAGCACTAGAACTATGAATATAAAAGTTGGTAGGGTGGGATAAAGGATGTTTTGGGAGAGGAAGGTAAAATAAATTAAGGAAAGAAAATCATATAATTTTTTTCAAAAGTATCATCGTCAGGGCCTTTGCTACAGTAATATTAAAAAAGACCCAGAAAGGCAATAATACTTTATGTGTTTTTCTGTTTAAAGTGTTGTATTTAGCCCCCTGACCAGCATCATCTGGCAATTTTAAAAAGTACACATTCTTGGGCCCCACCCCAAACCTACTCAGAAACTTTGGGGTTGGGGCTGAGCAATTTTTTTAAACAAGCCCTCCAGGTACACTAAAGTTTGGGTACCTTTGGTCTAAATTCAGCAAATTTTATCTGCAAAATGCCAAGTAGTAAATATTTTAGGTTTTATGGACCATAGATCTGTGGTGCATCTACTCATTTCTGTCTTTGTAAATGGAGAAAGCAGCCATAAACCTCATGTAAACAAATGGCCTTGGGTGTGTTCCAATAAAACTTTATTTACAAAAACAGACATGGCACATTTGACCCAAGGGCTGCAGTTTGCAGACTCTGGTTTGGACTCTAGACAAGTATGGTAGTTCTCATTGGGATAAATGATGACAAATTAATGAAAATATGGCACTCCAACAAGCATGTGAACCTATTGTTTTGAGTGTTTATTGTATAAGGAAAGCTTCCTGCATATGAGACAAAGTTATAAATAGATTAGAGGCACGGTGCACAAAATTCACACATGGGACTGGGGGGGTCTTCTCAGCCCAGCCTGTACCCTCTTCAGTCCGGGCCCTCTCGGGTGATGTCCAGCAATTGGACATTCCTCTCACAATCTGGGACCGCTGGCTCCTAACCACTCACCTGCCTGCCTGCTTGATCGCCCCTAACTGCCTCCTCTTTCCCTACCCTCCTCCCCTGCTGCCAGCCTGATTGTTCTTAACTGCCCCCCATGCCAACTTGCTCACCCCCAGTTGCTCTCCCTGCTGGCCTGATTGCCCCACGCAGCCTGCTGTTCAGTCGTTTGGTTTTCCCTCAATAACCCCCCTACTGGCCTGGTTGCCCCACACAGCCTGCTGTTTGGTCATCCGTTCAGTCGTGATGGCCTCTGGCTTTTTATATATTAGGATTAATATTTAATCTTGTTCTTTACATACACAAATACAGTAAAATACTTGTAGTTATTTAAAAAGAAAAAAAATATAGGAGTTGGAGGTCATTGTGAACACTTTCAAATACTGATTTATTTTCTAAACCAGTAGTCGGCAAACTCATTAGTCGATAGAGCCAAACATCACCAGTACAACAATTGAAATTTCTTTTGAGAGCCAAATTTTTTAAACTTCTTCTAATGCCACTTCTTCAAAATAGATTTGCCCAGGCGAGTGATATTTTGTGGAAGAGCCACACTCAACGGGCCAAAGAGCTACATGTGGCTCGCAAGCTTCAGTTTTCCGACCATGGTTCTAAACCATTGATTTTTTTTGTTCTTTCCATCTTTTTGTCACGCTATTATTATCCACACGGAAATAATTTATCTTTGTCTTAGTTTGAAACATTTTCATTACTAAAAATTCTAAATATCACAAAAATCAGTAGAGCAGAACATGTTTCAGTGTTTCCACCCTCTTTCTCCCCAAAAAGAATTATTAAACTTTTGATGACTTTTGTGTGTGTGTGTGTGTGTGTGTGTGTGTGTTGTTGTTTTTTCTGGATGTGTTTAATAATTACTGTTTTAGCTATCAATTTTTAAAAAGTATGGTATGTTTTTTTTAAAAATATTTGATCTAATTGTTTATAAGTGCTTTGTCAAATTATGAAATTGTAAATTAGTTTCAAATATATAACATTATAACTTAGGTTTTCTTATTTTTTGAAGGTTGTTTTGGAAACAGAAATAACGAATAAGTCTGCTTTGAAACTTTATGAAAATCTTGGTTTTGTTCGAGATAAGAGGCTGTTCAGATACTATTTAAATGGAGTTGATGCACTGCGACTTAAATTATGGCTGCGTTGAGAAACTGACATCAAGAAACAACTCTCCAACCACTCAGAATCGACCTTTGCATGCAATGCAATTTGTACAGAATTGCTTTGCAGGTGGATTTAGTAATTTCCATGCAGTTCTTATCTGTCAGTGTCTCATTGAGTGTCGCACAACATTTGTTGCACTTTGGCATGGCGCATTTGTTCTGAATTAAAAGAGATTGTTTTAAACTTAAAGAGTTTTTTTGGTACCAACAAGATGTGCCAGTTGATTGCCAAGATTTGTTTGTTCATTTGCAAAAGTCTGCTGACAATGTAATTAATAACAAAGTGATCATTTTACCACAGAACCAGTAAGTGGAACATGATTTTTGTTCCTTAAAAAAGCCAATGTAGATTGTAAAAATCTCTAAGTAGACTAACATTTCACATAAAACCTGCCATAGTTTTCTGAAGGAGGTAGGGGGGAAAGCTTCAATTTTAGGTTTTATTTTTTTCAATATTAAATTTTCTATTCTTGAATATTGGTACCTCAGTGATTAGTGAATGAAAAATTTAGGGTTGGTTATGTCTTACAATGAGTAAAGATAACAATTAAATTGCTTCTGCCAGTGTTTGTGTAGATAAGTATATTTGTCCTCATCTCTAGTTTTTTAATGCATGCTACCTTTTTCTTTTCTTTTTTTAAGGCCTTTGCAAGCAAACTTTTTTTTTAATTTAAATTCTAAATTTGATAATAAATTATTTCAGATTTTATAATTTGGATACTTTTTCCAGGTGAGTGACAGAGTGGTTTACTTTACAGAATAGAAGTTGAATTTACTCGGAAAATCTTTGAGAAATGGCTCCAAAGGGGATGAGAAAGTTGGTGGAGCTGGGAATTGCTGGGTTTTGGATGCACTTTTTTCTTGAGAGAGAGGGAATTTTTGGAAAAGAATAGAAAATTAATGTAAACTGATATGATTTTATTTAATCAAAATTATTGCTAAGCTGTGAAGAACAGCTTTTACAATGTAGGTGGAAGTTTTTTCCCACTTGATTAGGACTCACATTGCTTTCATTTCTTGAAATGTTTCACTTTTGGTTCTTGGTCTTTTAAGGTGCATTGTATCCACTTTAAACCGATTTTATTTACTTTCCACTTATTTGAGCAAATGCTTGGGGCAACTTTGCTTAGTTCCTAGAAAAACAAAAGTGAGAATTGGAATTTTTTTTTTGGAATGAGTTCTTACGGGTTTTCAATAGCCATCACTATGCTCATAAGTTAAGTTGTGTTTTGGCCAGTCTGTGCACTATAACAAATTTTAAAATAAATTATCCATCACAGGAAACCTGTGATGGATAATTTATTTAGCTGGAAAACCTAGGTACCCATGGGAAAAAAAATTCATTCTCTGTGAAAAATGTTTTATAGGAATCTATGCTTTTTTTTTTCTCTTTCATTTGGATATGCTTTACTTCTCTAGTATTTGGTTTGAATTTTATTTTATGACTATGATTACTGTATTTTTTTAAAACCCTACCTCCATTAACAGTTGGTAAAAGCCCCCTTTCAGGAAAGTTTGTTGTCCTTTTTATTATTATTTTTTTTTTTTAAAGGAAAGCTGCTCTTTGCTCAGTGTAATGTCTTGAAAGTGAACATGATAACAAGTACTTTTAAAATAAAGATAAACAGATTTGGTGAAAATAAATCTTTCTGCTGGTGGGATCATTTATAGTTCCTTATTATTAAAGAAACCTTTTTCTTTCTATTTTATATTGCTCTTGAAAGTTTAATGGGCAGAATACTGGTGACATTAAAATATAACCACACAATATTCAGCTTTTCAGTTGACCATTTTGAGTATCATTTTGGTCAAACTTCATTTGGGTGGGCTCTAGCATTTAGAGGATTACCAATTGTGATACTTCTTGTTATTTATAATATGGAGGGAACTGAACCAAAAAGAAAAACAGTACAGTACTTACATCACCAGATTTTCTCTCACCACTTTATATTTGACTTGCTGGTTCATAGGTAATGATTATTGACGAACATACATTTGCTTGACTCACAGAAGGGGACAGTTCTAAAGTAGACACATGCTGGATTTTCAGTTCAACAATTATGTTTTTGGCAGGTTGTCAATGAAACCATTACTACTGACCCTTCCCCTCTGAATTGACTAAGTTTTGCCAAATTGACTGGGTATTTATAAATATGACCATAGTCATGTGATAAAAAGTCATATGGTAGTTATTATTGTTTGACTAGTTTAGGTTAAATAACAGTGTCTACTTTATGTCTTTAATTGAGTATGCAAAAATTGTTTACTTAAGTAGACTAAAATTTTAACTTCTAACATGATAACCAAAATTAATTTCTATTTCAATTAAAAGGAATCAAACATTAATTTACTTTTTGATATTGGGCTTTTATTTTTCTTGAATAATTAAAAAATTCCATTTAAAATGGATGAGTGAGTTCACTTGGCTAAACCTGAGCAAAATTGGTGCAACTTTCTTTTAAAGGGGTGCTGCCTCTTTAAGACTGACTGTGCTATCCACTGACACTGGTTTGGCAGTTAATATTGCTGAACATTTTTTATACAAGCTACCATGAAGCTATATATGTTAGTATTGAAGAAGCTAACGGGTATACTACCATTTTTGATGTGTGGACTGATTACAATTTCCATTATGTTAAAATAAAACTATTCAAGAGTAATCCACAGGTCAGTAATCAGACAATAGTTTTTGAAGTTGAAGCCAGCAAAATTAAAATAAGAAAAAATATTAAAAATTTGGTTAATATTTTCTGCCTCTTCCCCGAATCACCCTCTCCACTTGCTTGACAAATCTTTGTAAAGGAGTTTGTTTGTCACATGTTTTAACTTTACCTTGCCCTGTGTTATGGTATTGGCTGACATGTATAAGACTGGATGTGTATATTATGGTGTCTACGAATCATGAAATTCATCACTTTTCAGGGGCATAGATATAATAAAAGCAAATTGGTAGTGCATCAGAGTTACTTTTCAATGCACCATGACATCACTAAAATGAGTGCTAAAATGTTACAGGGCTTTCAGGTTTGTAAAAACATAACTATAAATTATATTGACGTCAGATATGAGTTGAGTATAAAATATCACGTGTATCTCAAAATATTGGACTGCTGTTTGATGACTGGATATTGCTGCATAATTTTCTCCTATTGTCCCATATCCTTTTGGAGAGAGAGATTTAATGGGATTTAAATGTGCAAGCTGTCTAAATAAGATGCAGTCAAATAAAGTATGGTTACGTTGTGTTTGCATTTTTCTTTTAGATACAGCTGTGTGCATTTTATGATTGAGTTGTTTTACTTACTAAGAAAAAAACCAAGCAATCTACTCTGTTCCCCACTTTCTGCCTCTCATCTCAGAGTTATTTGGAAGAAGTGATATACAGTTATGTCTTATTTGTGTTCTGACAAATAAATTAGAAAAATAGCAACATGAATTTAAATTTCCTGGAAATATTCAAAGTTAATCATCTCATATATCAGATGACAATACAAATGAGCATATTAAACCGAAACTTCTTTAGTCCTTGTTTCATAGCACTTTATTCCTAAGATGGTTTTTATTTCAATTTCCCATTTTTTGTATTTAAGTAATTTTTTTTTTTTTTTTTTTTTTTTTTTTTTTTACCCATATCGAGACATCAGAGCAAAATAGAGCATTATGTAAAGGGCTTTTTATCCCATTCTTGTGAGAAACTTTAAATGGTATTTATGCTTTCATCAAGATTTATGGATATTAATAGAAGAGGTCTGTTTCAATCATGACTGCTAAATTTCATCATGTATACCAAATCTCTTCAATTACTTTTAAAATATATATGTATTTTATTGATTTTTACACAGAGAGGAATTGAGAGGGATAGAGAGAAACATCGATGAGAGACTTCGACCAGCTGCCTCTTGCACACCCCCCACTGGGGATGTGCCCAAATCCAAGGTACGTGCCCTTAACTGGAATCGAACCCGGGACCTTTCAGTCCGCAGGCCGACGCTCTATCCACTGAGCCAAACTGGTTTCGGCCTTCAATTACTTTTTATAGTCATGTTTTGAAAATATCTGAGTTCATGTTTTACTAGGGCCTCACATGGCACTTTAAATACTTCATACAATGACCAGAAATTTGATACTGTTCTTTCACACCTATGAACAGAGATCAGTATTAACCTGTAGCAGAGAAATATAGTGATGCTTTTAAACAACTTTTTTAAAAGATCAGTTTGAAAAGTCTCAGAAGCGGATGGCACACTGCACTTTCTTCAGATCAGTGCTAATAGCACTTTTTGTAATGGTAAGAATGTTCTTCATGTTCTCCAATATGCTAGCACCCAGTAACATGTAGGTATTTGAGCCCATAAAGAGTGAATTTTTAGTCAACCGAAATTTAAATAGCTACATGTGGCTAGTGGCTACTGTATTGGACAACATAGCTTTAGATAATAAGCAGTAAAAGCTGAGGAAAGCATTTTTTGAATAGGAGTTTTAAGACCAGGTTATCTACTGAAATATGAAACGAGGATCATGATTGAAAATTACCTATGAGCAAAAGAGTATACCTGCACTGTTTATGTTGACAATCTATTTCATTAAAGCAGTTTCTGACTGACCACCACTCTCTCTGCCCATGTTATGATGTAGTGCTTCTGAGGAAAGTAGCCCTTTCCAGCTATTATTTGGAAGTTCTTGGAGTTGCAGAGATGCACAAATTCAAATCCCAAAAATTGGTTTTCTGATGAGATTGTCATATTGTTAGCATTAAGACATTTTAAGTATTGTAGTTTAGCCTAATAATTTCTCATTTTAGATTAATTTGAAATTCTTTGACCTCTAACTGAGGTCGATTTCTCATTACTGGTGATTATATCCAAACGTGAGGAAGATCATATATTTTTAAATACTGGAAGATCATGTGGATCCAAAGGCAAGTGTTTTTGATTCTGAAAGAATCAGATTAATTTTTTGTGTTCTCTGGCCATGGTGTGTCACCCTTGGTTCAAGCTGGTCATCTAATAACTGATTCATCAAAAGGACTAGAGTGCCAGGCCTGGTACAGCCTGAAAACACTGCTGGGAAAAAGCTCAGAGCACATGTTCTGTTGAGAGCAATCACTGTTTAACCTTCTTAGGAAAAAGATGGAGGAATAACAGACCACCAAAGTGCCAAAATCTACCTTCTACTTTTAAAAATGTAAACAATACAGAGGTTATAATGTAAGGTTTTTAAAGTGCTAAGAAATAAGCTCATTTTTAGTTAATGGATTTTCATGACTACCTCTTTTGCTGTATGACTATATCTGAATTTTCTGATACCTCAATTTCCTGAGAATCTGTATGTATGTTTTTGTAAATAAAATAATTTACCATATGCTAGGGGAAGGACCTGGCTTTTAAAGAAATTGTATAAAGACATTGCTTATGGTATTTGTTATGCGGTGAATCAATTTTTTCAAAACGTCCTATACTAGTAGCCTTTCCTTGCCCCCTTGATTGAGGTTTTTCTTTTTCTTTTTTTCAGCAAATAATCTTATTTAGTTCGATTTGTGTTCCAGAAAGTGTGTACTTTCATTTGTTCATTTAAAACTGCAAAGATTTGTATGTCTCCTATGTTTTACTTTCATGCCAAAGAAACCCTTTTTTTAAAAGCCAGCAGGTTGCACTAACTGGAGAAAAAAAAAAGTTTGCTCCTTAAGTAGGCATTCTTAAGAAGTTTTATTTCCTGGAATATAAGTATTTTTCCAGAGGAAAATAATCCATTGTTTCGTAAAAGCCATTATTAATAAGTTGTAAAAATGCATGTGCTTTCAGGAATGCAGTGGTTCCATTAAGGAAACAATATTGGCAATTTTAAGGAACTGTTTCTGTAATACAATCCACAATTGCATAAAACTTTGCAAACTGATTTAAGATATAAAGTAATTCCTACATTTCATGTATGTTTATGAATTGTTCAGGATTCGTTGCTCTAACATAGGGGATTGATTGTTATCACTTTTAGGGCCAGATTGCCATGATTGTACATGGTTTTATTTTAAGGAGGCTGAACCAGCTGTCTTAAAGCTAAACCTGCTGCCTTTAAACTGTGCTACCTCCCTCCCCTTCAATTGTGGCTGTAAATAGTGACTCTTTGCAATCAGCTAGCTTTATACTTGATTTCATTGTAAATGCAAATAAAAATTGTAAGTCCATCAAGTATTGACTTAACTAGGTAAATATAAACTGAGTTCAACCTTGTCTTTGGCCAAATCTACCTGATGGTTTATGGTAATTTGGAAATGAAGTACATCATTATGGATGTGAGCACTGTGTTTGAGTTTTTGTGGGAATCATTATTTTCTTCATATTCGGAACAGTTAGTGAACATTCAGAGAGTTTATTTCCATCCTGATGATTCTGGGCAAGCTTTTTTTTTTTTTTTTTTTTTTTTTAATATATTTTATTGATTTTGTACAGAGGAAGGGAGATAGAGAGTTAGAATCATCGATGAGAGAGAGTCATCGATCAGCTGCCTCTTGCACACCCCCTACTGGGGATATGCCCGCAACCAAGGTACATGCCCTTGACTGGAATCGAACCTGGGACCTTCCAGTCCCCAAGCCGAGGCTCTATCCATTGAGCCAAACCGTTTCGGCTGGGCAAGCTTTTTTAACCTCTCTGAGCCTTTGGTGATAACTACCTGGTAAGCTCATCTTAAAAATGCCATCTATGTAACAGTGCCTAGTAGCCTAGTACAGAGTAAATAAATGGTGACTATTACTAATACAAGTAGCAGTAGTATATAGTGTATTTTGGTATTGGGTTTTGTAGCACCATTTTAATGGCAAATCATCTACATATTTCATTAGCTCTTATGAGAGTAGCCTAAACTAGCAAGTGAAGAGAGAAAACTTTGTCTTTTTATTGTGGGGAATATTAAAATAGGTATATAATCTCTCAATGTACGTACTAAACCAGACCCAACACCCATGGCCTATCTGGTTCCATCCATTTTCCATCCACCCTTCTCAGATTTTTTCCCAAACAAATCCCAGTGATTATATTTTATCTATAAATACTTTAGTGCTTATTTCAAATGGTAAGGCCTAATTTTAAATAATAAGATCACAGTACTATTATACAAATCTATAATCATTATGTAACCAGTATTAATGTTTTGGTCTTTAGGAAATTGTTTTTGACAGCAGCATTGAGATGCATAAGAAATGGAGAGTAAATATGACTAGAAAAGAGATCACTCAGGATAAAAGATTTCTGTTACAAGGACAGTAGACACCTTAGTACAGTGGTCGGCAAACTCATTAGTCAACAGAGCCAAATATCAACAGTACAAAGATTGAAATTTCTTTTGAGAGACAAATTTTTTAAACTTCTAACACCACTTCTTCAAAATGGACTCACCCAGGCCATAGTATTTTGTGGAAGAGCCACACTCAAGGGGCCAAAGAGCTGGAATTTGCTGACCACGGCCTTAGTAGGTAAATTTGAAGGTGCAAATGGAAAGAAAAGGGGAAAAGTAGAGCTAAGGTTGAATGGAGGGGGCTGTCTTGTATATTCCAAGTATCTAGTGTTTTCTTATGTAAGAAAAGGGAGTTGATAAAATATGGCAAAATTTCCAACAGTGACAAATAATTTAGAAGAAGAGGTTGGTTTTTTGGAATATAGTCAGTGAAGCATGGCAGGTAAGATACTGGGTGAGCAGAAGAGAAAAAAATAGGTGGTCATATAGGGACACAATCTTCCCCACTCTGGCCAAACAGTTGTTGGTCCATAAACTGAAACCTTACAGATGTTCTCTCCCAAACACATTTTTAATCAAAAGTTCCCAAATCTTAACCAAGTTATTTGTAAAAAGAACAATACTTTCAAAGAGATACCTGTAGGTTTTGACATAACTGTCATGCCATCAGCGATTCATGTCTTAAATGCTGAGCTAATGGCTTTAGACTCAATAGCATTCTCAGCCCAAAAGACAAAGTAATTTTGCATTTTTTATAAATTGTCCTTAGGACAGCAAGTTGGAGGGTTTCCCCATAATTGGGATACTTACCTTTAATTCCGAGTTTTCTACACTGTTTACCTATGACCCCAGGCCAGTTGCTTAGCCTCCTTGTGCCTGCTCCTCATATTTTTATTATTTATTATACTGTATTACAGCAGCCTTCCTTTGCAAGGACATTACAAGAAAACTAGGAGGAATGCCCTGAGCGACTTGGTTGATGATAGTACGTACCATACTTAGTGCACTCAGCAAAACTTGTTCTTCTGGGTGACTTTCCCCCATTTTATTGCTGCTTTCCTAGCACCTGTTATTTGGTGCTGTTGTGGGGTATGTTTCCTGTTCAGGTGGAAGGGTTGAATCAAGAAAGTCCTGTGTTAGGGACACAATTTTAATAGAGCTGATTAAGCAAGTGAAGACAGTTTTGGTTTTGTGTGTGTGTGTGTGTGTGTGCGCGCGCGAGTGTGTTTTAAAGAAAACAAGGTGGGGAGCCTCGCCAGTGTGGTTCAGTGATTGTGTGTTGACCTATGAACCAGGAAGTCACAGTTCAATTTCTGCTCAGGACACATGCCTGGGCTGTGGGCTGGATCCCCAGTGTGGGGCAAGCAGGAGGCAGCTGATCAATGATTCTCATCATTAATGTTTCTATCTCCCTCTAGAATTGATAAAAATACATTAAAAAATAGGGTGGGAAAAGGATAAGGGCCACCCTATGTTGAAACACCCTGATATTGTGGTTAAAAGGGGGTCAAGATATAAATAATTCAGGATAAATTCATCACAGCCATTATTTGAATTTAAAAGAAACCCTAAACCACATGGCTGACTAGAATTTCCAAGACTACATAAAATCAGGAAATGATTTTATGAGATTTTGTATGGCAGCTACACTAAGTATATGTAGAGTATGAGCTACAGAATCGTGGTTCTCAAACCAGTGAGTCCAATTTTCTCTTATTGTCTAAAAGAGCACCTGACTGGGGACAAGAACACCTGGACATCTTTGCACAACCTGCTGAGCAGAGGATCACTGGAGTCTGGCTGATCGCAGGATGCTTGCAGCTATTGGGATGTGATCCCCTCAGCTTGCAGTGGAGAGACCTGTGATTAATGCCTTCTCTTCATTGCCAGGAGGGCAATAAATAATAGTAAATAAATAGCATGTGGTGAGATTGTCTCCGTACAGCTGTCAGAGCAGTTCCACCCACTTTTACTCAGTCTTTAAAAAGATCCTTTGGGATTGAAAGATAAGCCAACATTTACAAATGACGTCTTTGTCTGAGATCACAGCAGTGATGAGACCTGAACCCAGGACTCCTGACTCTTCTAGTTTCCTTCCCATCCAATCTGATGCTTGATGAAACCCAAAGGAGACAGGCAAAGTTCAGTGTATTTAATTCTATTGGATAAAATTAAAACTTTAATGAATCCTAAATTATTTAATAGGTCCAATTTGTAAAATCCATTAAAGCATTTAGGATTAAGTGGTTTTTCTTAACATTTAATTGGTTTCTAATAATTAGGCCTGTAATATCTTTCAAGGGGACTGAATTTGATTTCTTTTTAAAGCAAAAACTTGCCTTCTGTATTGTCTTATTCTATAAAAATGGATATGAATGCTCTTATTTAGATTATATTTAATTTTAAACTTTTGAAGTATTATGCTCTAATATATAACTTTCTTGCTATATTTCCAGTAAATTTTTACTTTATCAAACTTCAAATAAGCCTATAGAAATACACAGAGTGGCCAGATTATTATGATCTCTGAACACATCATAACCTGGCCACTCAGTGTATATCCTATATAATAAAAGGCTATTAAGCAAATTGTCCCCTGGACCAGGAGTTCAACCAGCAGGCAGGCTGGCCAACTGCCCATGTCCCCTACCCCTGGCCAGGCTAGCCAGAACCCACCCATGCAGGAATTCATGCACCAGGTCTCATGTATATACTGAGTGGCCAGATTATTATGTGGTCAGAGATCATAATAATCTGGCCACTCAGTGTATGTTTTTAAGGGAAAGAAAGGAGTTCATAGAAAAACTACCTTGATTTAAGTTTGAAGTCTATTTAAAATATTTTAAAACACTATGCAAAATCAGATTATACATATTTTCTTTGTAATGCTAAGTCTCAATGCAAACATTAGGAAATTAATTTTGTGTACATATATACATG